AAAAAAAAAAAAAAAAGAGTGTAAATTTTCAACAACAAATGCTTGATCCGACAATTAATCACTCCTTTTTTTATTTTTTTTACGTTTAACTATATTTTGCTGCTACAGATATAAGTTTACAACATAACTTTTTGTTTGTTTTCTATAAAACTTTATTTTTGGTTCAATATTTATCAGTTTCAACAAGTATCTGTCACCGATACTGTCATCTAAGACAGAAAAAAAATTAAGTGAAAAAGGATACAGAAATAGTTTTGAAAAATATTACAATTTTCATTAATTATTTGCGTACACTTAGAACACAGCTCAGTAAAAATCCAACAAATATAGATTTTCATTTATTTAATGTAAAACATAGCTGTTGTTAAAAGCTAAAAAAAAAAAAACTTCATCTTAACAGCAGTAAAATCCATCTTTCTGCACTATAAACACAGATTAGGATAAGGATTTATAAAGTAATGTAAAAGAAGAAGGGAAAAAAGCGACGGCGACTGAACCGCTGACCATAAGGAAGTCAATGCATTCATTTCTTTTCAGATGAGGAAGTAGCCCGAATAAGGTTATCCCGTGAACAGATTACTTAACCAGGCTGCATTTGACGATTGTTTTAAGCCGAGGTTTAAGCTGAGTGTTATACAGAATGACGATAACAGTGAAAAATTTAGCCTATATATATATATATGTATTCATCTTCAAAAATAAATATGCCAAAAAGTTCCAAAATAATGAAAAAAAAATTTCATTGACAAACATAGATGTATTGTTTTCAAGCTGATTTATGAATTATCCAAAAAAGAAAAAAAAAAAAAAAGAAAAATTCCATTCTATTCAATTAGGTTTCAAACGTGCTCATATAGCGTGGCCGTCAACACTAACACAAATGCTTCAAAAAAATCTTAAAACAATCAACTGTTCAATTACCTTTTTTTATTGCTTATTGTTTTGTTTTGTTTTTTTTTTTTTACCTTCCCTCTTTTCTTTTTTTTTTTTTCAAAATTCTTTTTTTTACCACAAATCTTATGGCATCAAAAAAACAGTGGTTTTTTTTTTTTGTCGCCGTTGTTATCACTGATGTCTATTAGCGTAGAATTCGTTCAACTAATGATGTCAACAAATAGTTTTGCATCGAATAAATAGGTGTTAATATGCAAACTTGTACTCTACTTTCTTTTAACTTCTTTCTTTCCTTTTCACCCTTTTTTGTTTCCCCGTTTTTTTTTTTTTTTTCTATGACTGAAAAGAAATTTATTTTGCATTCTTCAAACACATACAAAGCCCACAACTGAAGAATAGTTTATTAGTGTTATCTGTTGTTTCTAAAATTTACTGACCAGTTTTGTTTTTTTTTTTTGTTTTGCCAACAACCATTACAAAAAATTTGGTGATTCCGAATTCTATCGCTGCTGAGTGTATAAAATGCTGAAGCTG